AAGATTTTGTGCTTCGATGCTGCCCATGATTTTTCATAAAGAAAAACATTGGCTCATAAGGAGCCTTGCCATACTCCAAGCACACAGAGAAGGGCTTTACAGAGAATTCATTTAATCTCATCAGCCCTGGCAGGCCGGTACTATTATCATCCCCATTGTTTTCAGATGAGTTCATTGTGGCTCAGAGTTGAAGTACCTTGCCCAAGGTCACACCATCTGTAAATGGCAGACCATGGACTTGAACCTCAAGTTGTCAGAATCCAAATGCCCTGCTCTTATAACTGGAGGAGTTATTTATCAAGTCTAAACTCTGCTGGGTCGGCCTGCCCTAATACTCCAGCCTTCATTGATCTCTCTGTTCGCTAAATGTCTTCAGCTTTCAATATCAGAACCACCCAACTGAGCACTTGTCATTGTATAAATGGATTCTTTTCTCTCCTACTTTACTGTAAGTGGGTCTAGCGATTTTTACTGTTTAAACATCCCCCTGTACTCAGTAAGGAGCCCTGGTTGCGCAGTAGTTAAGCTAAAGATGTGGCAGTCTGCTTCCATAAAGATTTAGAGCCTTGGAAACCCTAAGGGGTGATTCTACTCTGTCCTATAGGGCCACTGTGAGTCAGAATTGACTCAGTGGGTACGGGTACTCAGTAAGTCTTCAGAAGAACAAGCTCAAAGTCTTCTAATAATTCTTTCTTTGACTGTCAGCTGAATTAGACAGCAAGAAAGTCTTTCTTCCCTGCCACCCCTCCCCACGCCCCCTTTTCCTTCCTGTGCCATTAGAGAAGAGTCTCTTCTTGGCTGGAACAAAATACTACAGCCTGTTCTACTAGCTAATATTTATTGAGTTTTTACTATGCGCCATGCACTGTTCTTAGTACTTACATGCATTAACTCATTGAATCCTGACAGTAATCTATGAGCTAAGTCCTATTTTTACCCCCATTTCACATGTAAGGAAACTGAATGTACCACTGCATCAGTATTTGACCCAATCGATGAGTAAATGCTTTGCTGGTGATTAACAGTATTAGTAACAACAACCATACAAATATCTTACTTGTGTATCATGCAACACAGCTCTATGGACATTATGTTGTTTTCACTCACCATGCAGATAGGTACTAATGTCTCCATTTTATGGGGAGGAAACCATGACTCCAAGAGGGCGAGTGACCCTCAACAGTCACACAGCAAGTGCTGGCTGTGCTTTACACGTAAAAGACATTCTATAAATACTAAGCCAGTGAGTAAACGCTACTAGTAGCAGAGCTTGAACGGGAACCCAGATCTTTGTCTCCTAGTCCAGTGCCCTTTCCTTGAGCCAAGATGGGTGAAAAGCAAGTCTTAGTTCCAAATCTGAGAGCGCCTTGGTTTAGGATCTTAAGCCAGAGAAAGCAGAACTCTAAAACAAGCACCATTTTTTTTTTTTTTTTGCTTCTCGGCATTTTCTACCTTTATCACCATGAGCATGCACTGCTTTCATAATCACAAATAATGTAAATAAACTAAGACGCCTGGGGCTTGTCGAGGTACCCCTGGGTTAGCTTGGCGATTGTTCTGGGACCCCTGCCCTGGCATTTGTGAGACCCTCTGATCCTGCCCCAGAGGCCACCTGGCCCAGTTGCTCTAGAAGGCTTATGGGCTGAGAAGGGCTTGGTAGGTGAGAGGAAGCTGGCCTGGGGTGGGGTTGGGTAGGTGAGGAGCGGGGGAGAGATTCCAGAAGCTGCTACTGAGGCTGCAATGAGCAGGGAGCTTTGCAGGAGTCTCCAGGCTTCTGTAAAAAACTGACTCAACGGCACCTAACCACCACCACCACCACCACGTGCTGGGCCTTGTAAAGAACACCCAGATAGCCAGATAAGGGCCTTTTATCCCGGAGTCCCTGCATGGAGTAAACTTATTAATGAGCTCAGCTGCTAACCAAAAGGTTAGAGGTTAGAATCCACCCAGAGGCACCTCAGAAGAAAGGCCTGGTGATCTATTTCTGAAAAATCACCACTGAAAATCCTGTGGAGCACAGTTCTACTCTGACACATATGTGGTTTCCAGGAGTCAGAATCAACTCCACGACAACTGGTTTTGGTTTGGGTTTGCTCTAACTACAGCCATGGGCAGATCCGGCTACAGGATTTGCAGGCTCCAGTGCAAAATGAAAACGCAGTATCCTTTGTCCAAAAATTACTAAGAATTTCGAAATAGTGACAGCAAAATATTAAACCAGGCATGGGGCCCTACTAAGTGTGGGGGCTCTGCGTAGCAGGACAGGTTGCCGGCCCATGAAGCCGATGCTGGCCGTGAGACGAGAAAAAGCAGATCAGAAGAGAGATCTGGAAGCCAGAGTCTCAGATCTTGGTGATCTGTTGGACGTGGGAAGAGAGGGAGCAACCCAGTTGTTGGGTGTTCCTTCCTGTACTGGTTGCTGGGCTACCCTACTGCTTCCTGGGCACCCCCCTTAGGTGGCCCAGGAATAATTCTAATCTATTGATATGTCTTGACACAGCCCCTCCTCCTTTCTACTGCAGCCCACTTAGGCCTTTTCCTGGAAGGTCCCCACTTATAGGCACCACCAGTCACCCAGTCACTCCAGCTAAAAACCCTGGAGTCACTTCACTCCTCTCTCCCCATCCCACCCCTTCCGGCAACTTACTTCCTAAATGTTCCTTCCATCTGTGTGGTGTCTTCATCCCTGCTATCACTGCCAAGTTCCGGCAGGCCCTTATCAGCTTTGGCCTGGATTATCCACAAAAGATTCCTATCCGTTACCCTGACTCTTGTCTGGACCCCACCCCCACCTTCTAACCAAAATACGCACCCTCCACAGTGCTGCCTCAGTGATCTACCCAAGGTCACTGAGTAAGACCCCTGGAGGAAGGGGACTGCCCCGGCCCAAGGATAAGCTCCAAATGGCCCACCAAGCCCTCTGTCACCTGACCATGCTTAACATTCTAATAAATGCCAGAAGCGCCTTAGTCTCCCACACATGTCCAGCACATACTATGCTAGTTTTTTTTTTTTTTCTTTATCTCAGTTTCTTCTGACTGGAATGCCCCCACCCACCTCCTTGGCCTAGCTATCCTCAGTTCATTCTTCGAAGCTCACCTCAGCTTTCGTTTCCTCCAGCCCGGCAGTCGTGCCTGGCTCCCACCCCCTACACACCCTGCGTGCTCTCCTGCACTGGCTATATAGGACCTTACAGAAGCCTGAGGCTGGGCTGGGGCTGCTGCAGCAGGGAGCGAGTCCTGCTCACTTCCGTGCAGCCAGCAACCAACGCAAAGACCTTCCCTTGTGGGTGCTCCGTACACATGTGTGGCTCCTGGCTGAACAGTCTGAGGGTGGGTGGTGTGGGTAACAGAGTCAGAACACTGGGGGACCGGTGGCTTGCAGAGAAGGCTGGCACAGATAACCCAAAAAAGAAAGAAAATCCCGAAATCACATCTTCATCATGACCCCACTGGCAGGGCAAGGGCGTTGCTGTTGTTGTTAGGTGCTGGTGTTGAGTCGATTCCCATAGCGAGCCCATGTGGGAAAACTGCCCCACAGGGTTTTCTTGGCTGTAATCTTTATGGAAGCAGATCGCCAGGTCTTTCTCCCGAGGAGCCCCTGGGTAGGTTCAAGCTGCCAACCTTTCAGTTATCAGTACAGCGCTTAACTGTTTGTGCCACCAGGGTAAGGGCAGTGCCTTTGAATGCATCTGTCACCCAGAGGCAATGTCAGTCATTATGGTGTCCTGTTTGATTATATTTGACTTCAGAATTTCATTTTTGCTGCTTTTTAAAAGCGTTTTCCCTGTGTCAGCTGTAAACAAGCCCCTCCCTAGGGGAGGCATCAAGCAACACACACTCTAAGACTAACAATAAAATGGTTGGCTGTGAATTTGGGGTCTTGGACATGTTTCCATTTCCCCATCTCCCCATAGCTAGCAAAGCCTTGGTACAAGGCTGACCCTCAGTAACTATTTGCTGAATGGGTGAATGATGTCCAGTTCCCCGAGAGTACGGGTGGGAGGCCTGAAGCCCCTGGGGCCAGCCAGGGGCAGCCAGCCTGGGATTATACTTGATATACAGATAATCCCCCAAATCCAAAAGCCACCTGGACAGCAGTTGGCTAGACTGGGCTCCACTGGGCTACTGACGACTCCACAAGTTTTCCAGGGACCAGAAAAGAGCCCCTCAAAAATCAATTCATTCTAATTATTATTGGAGAGTGAGGGTAGAATCCATTTGGGGAGATTAATTTCTGCCTCTTCTCCTCTCAGCCTTGTTGTTATTGTTGAGAATATACACAGCAAAACATACACCAATTCAACCATTTCTGCATGTACAATTCAGTGACATTGATTACATTCTTTGAGTTGTGCAACCATTCTCACCCTCAACTATTTTTTAGCAAATTTTATTATGTAAAATTTCAAAAATACAGAAAAGAGGAGAAAGTCTAAATGAACTCACAAGTACCTATCACCTAACGGCAACAATTACCAACAAATCCCAGACACTGGCTCATTTGACGCGTAAAGGTTTCGGGGAAGATCAGAATCCGTTTCCGATTCCATCTCGGTGCACACTCCTGTTCCCTTTCCCGTGCCTAGCGCGGGGCCTGCTACGTCCCCGGCAGGTTCTCCACCAACGCCCCTTAAACTGAAAGCCCGACTGTACGGCGCCGGCCCTACTTCCTCCGCTGCCTCCTCCGCTTCCCGCACGGCGTGGGTCACCTCGGCGCCATGGTGGGCCCGACCCCCCCGACCTGCAATGCCGGTGATGCGCGAGTGAGTCCCTCCGCGCAACGCCGCCAGCAGCCAGAGTGGGCGCTTCCACTTCCTCTTCTTCGCGCTGACTAAGGCGCCGCCCAGCGTGCCCCGCTCCCCGGGGTGGGAGGTGGAAGCCCTGCCCTGGGGGCGTGGCCACAACCCGAAGGGGCGGGGAAATACCCATATTTGGCCTTATATGGGCAGCCACGTCACAGGTCGCACATTCATTCACATAAAACGCAGCGTCGCCGGCGGAATCCCCGGCTTCTGGGGCGGCTAGTGGCCGAGCCGGGTGGAAAACGCGTGGGGTAGGAAAGAAGAGCTGAGCGGCCGCTCCTGCGCCGGACTCCGTCGGCCGACCGCAGTTCCTCGCCAGCGGGCACCCTGACTGTGGGCACCTGCGCGGGGAGCGGCGCCGAGCCGCTGGGCGGCGGCGGCATGAAGGTCACGTCGCTCGACGGGCGTCAGCTGCGCAAAATGCTCCGCAAGGAGGCGGCGGCGCGCTGCGTGGTGCTCGATTGCCGGCCTTACCTGGCCTTCGTTGCCTCGAGTGTGCGCGGCTCGCTCAACGTCAACCTCAACTCGGTGGTGCTGCGGCGGGCCCGCGGGGGCGCGGTGCCGGCGCGCTACGTGTTGCCCGACGAGGCAGCGCGCGCTCGGCTGCTGCAGGAGGGCGGCGGCGGCGTGGCAGCGGTGGTCGTGCTCGACCAGGGCAGTCGCCACTGGCAGAAGCTGCGCGAGGAGAGTGCCGCCCGCGTCGTGCTCACCTCGCTGCTCGCCTGCCTGCCCGCCGGCCCGCGGGTCTACTTCCTCAAAGGTGAGCGCATCGGGGGCCGCCGGTCCCCTGACTCCCCCGCCTATCCTTTATCCCCTAGCCGGGACATGGAACGTGGGCGCTGAGGTCCCCTCCCTGCTCTGAGCACCTTGCTAGACCCTGTGAAAGTCTCCACTTGACTGTGACTGCACACCGGGGCTTGACGTGCGCTTAGTGAGGGCACAGCAAATGTCAGCGCCCGGAGCTGCCACCCCCCCCCCCGCCCACTTTCCTCGAAAGCTCTCGGCCGCCTGTCCGGCGGACTGGGTGGGGGTGGCTGTGCAGCGGGGGGCGCTGCTGCTTAGCAGTTTGAGGGCCATCGGCTCGTGCGCGGGCAGCGTTTCCCCGCGCGGGCTCCTCAGGTCTTGCTGGCCCAGGGCTCGGAGCCTTGCTGATAGATCTGTTGGAATCAGCGGGTCGCGACCCCCCAGGAGCTTGGCGCCGTGGTGTCCCCCTTCCTTCCCGCCTGGGCAATTACTGTACGTTACGCGGTGTCTTCTCCAGACCCCTCTTGCCTTTTTGACCCTGGCGAGTCCCTCCCCCTTCCTTTCCATTTCCATTTTATTGCTTTTTATTGTTTTCCTCCTGCCTTCTCTACTCCCCTCCCCGGCCTTTCTGGAGCTCAGTTCGGAGCTGACAGCCTTCCCAGCCTTTTCATATCCTCCCTCTCACGCCCTGGGAACATTTCGGAGACCGGGGTCCTGAGGTGGAGTGGGGGCTCCTGCTGTTTGCCCAGCATGGGAGGCCTAGGCGCGCCGGTGAGTCAGGACCTGAGAGAGGAGCCGCCGGAGGCGGGTGGTGGTGGAGGGGATTATGTGGCCTTTGAGACCCCAAAAGCTGCGCAGCAGGTCGTCGCGACGTGAGCATTGACGGCCTGTCCGTTTCACCTGCTGGGGAGATAATTCAGGCTTCCGGTGGTGGGTGGGTGATTGACTCTCAAACTCGAGAGCTTTGATTTCTGGGTCACTTCCTATGATTGCACCCTCCACATATTTGAGCCCTTTGTAACCTCGAATGTATGGAGTGCAGAGATGACGGCTCAGACTGGAGGCACCCCAAGGTGCGTCTAGCCCTGGTGCGGACTCGTTGGAATCTGACAGTGATGGAGAACAGAGCAGGTTGGAGGAATAACCCTTGCCCGTCATGTGGTTCAGAACTCAGGTGCAGTGAACTGGAGAGTTGGGGCCCTGTTTTAAAGCCATGCAATCTGGGGAATTTCACACAGTCCAGGCCAGGAGATTCCAGAGGCACGTGGGCAGCTCCCACCTCCATTAGCACCTCTTGCTGACTGTCTGTCCCCTGGTGATTCCTGTTAAGAAGATGTTAATCTTCCTTCTCCCTGCAGCCTCGGCCCCCAGGGGATGAATGAGTGGTCTTCTCTGGGCTCTGCAGAGGTTTCACACAGGGCTCCTGATTTCTTTCTCTTCCTGATGTGGTTTTTGTCTCCTGTTCTTAGTGAGTACAGGAAAAGCTTCCACCTCCTCAGGCAGCTTGAAAGATGTGTTCCAGGAAACTCCTCCTAGTCCTACATGTGCTCTGCACCCCTCTCCAGGGGGGCCGTGCTGACAGTTTAGAAGTTATTACCACAGGAAGCAGGCAGTTCTGTAGCCTGGCAGCTCAGAAGAAGTATGTTTAAAGTGTTGTTTTTTTTTAATGAAGTAAAAAATGTGAACAGCACAAAAAGCTGTACAATAAAAAGTGGATGTTTCACACACCTTAGACCCCACTCCCTGTAGATAAATAGATTTTCCCTGAATATCTTTAAAAAAATGGGACAATTTCCTATATTCCCTGTTCCTGCCTCTTTCACCCGACTAGATCTTGGAAACCCTCCATATCGGAACATACATGTTCGTTTCACTTTTTTAACCAATCCCTCATGATGGCCATCAGGTTGCTTCCAGTCGCATTGTTTGCAGCAGTGTGGCAGAGGATATCCTTGTCCATATGCTTTTGCCTGTGCATCTGCTGTCTTTCAGTAAAATCATGAGAATTACAGGGTCAAAGATTATGTGCATTTCCAATTTCGCTGGAAATTGCTTGATACCAACCCTTGTAATGCTATAAAACTTTTAAATGGTTGCCAGTTTTTTTTTTTTCCTTTACCTAACTTATGTCCAGATACAATTTCAGATTTTAAGCTGGTGGCATCTCAGATCTTGAGACCATCCATGCCTTTTGCTGTTCTATTCATTCTTCCCCCCACAAAAAAAAAAAAAAACTCAGTAAAATCAGAGAGCGCTGACCAAATAAAGTTGTCAGTACGTATCTGTATATAGCGTCCACGCACTGTCTCCGCCCCCCCACCCCCCGCCGCGCAGTGCAGTGGTGATTGAAAGCAGAATCACTCTGAAGAGAACTGAAGCAGCCGTAAGAATCACCGTGGCTCTTACAACACAAGTGAGGCACGAGAGAGGAATGTTCTGTCTTTCCACGCCTCTGATGGGAGTATGTGAAAGACAGAGACCAGCTAATCTGTAGGACTCCTCCTGACCCCAGCTAGCCGAGGCAGGGTCCTGTTTATCTGTCCTTGTCTACATGAGACTCCTTGTCTGCCTGCATATTTTGTCAACAGGCAGGCAGGCTCCAGCTCACACCCGCACCACCCGTCTGTCCTCCTGACAGCCAACTCTTAAGTGGTCTATTTAGAGCCAAGAAATGGGGTGGCCTGAAGGCTTCTCATTCCCAAGCCTCATCCTGAAGTTGGGGACAGCCTGGGCCACTCTTACTTCAGATTCCACTCCAATCCCTCGGTTTGTCTCTTGGAACCCAAAAGGTAGAGGCCCAGGCACGAGAAGCAACTAGGTGGTTATAACTAGGGATACCTCTTCCAAGGAGGAAGCTGTGTGTCAGAGTAGGTCTGGCATTCTCCCTGCCTCCGAGGAAGGAAGGGGGTCAAGGGTTTATTGGGGGGCAGGGAAGCTAGGCCGCTCACACCTCCACCACCTCCCCACCACCCTCATCTGGCCTGGCCTCCTGTCACCATGAGGGGGGAGAACCAGAAGCTTGTCCGGGAAGGCACAGTGGGTGACTTGCTGAAGTGACCACAGGGGAGATTTGGCTGTACTAAACGGGGGCGGGGGCAGTTCAGAGAGCTGAGAGGGAGCCATGATGGCAAGATGACTCATTCTAGGAATTGGCTGCAGCTTCTGAGAGGAAGCTAGTGACTGCCCTGTAATTCATTAACCATTTGTCCGCTACAGGGGTTTAAAAAAGCCAAAGTGTTCCACTGAGGGGTTGTCACAACACCAGAAAGCAAAAGAAAGCGGGGGCTTTGGGGAAAATACATGCTCTCAGAATTCATATTTAATTGATGATTTGACGTTAAGTGAATTCTCTGGACCAGAAAAAGATAGGTGCCCTAGGAAGTGCGTTAGAGTGCTTTGGGTTGGAAGCAAAGGGATTCCCAAACCAGGGTGGCCTGTTTACCCAGCAGCCCTTGACATTCCAAGGGTTCTGATGGTCTTTAACTTGGTGGTTCTTTTCCCACTGAGTGGAATGGGCCCTGAGAGGGCTTATTTATATATGCAAGTTTCTCTGACTTGGGCAGAGAATAGTTTTTACCTTAAGTGATACGTTTGAAGAGAAGTTTAGAATAATGTTACAAATTTTTAGAGTCATACTTACTGGTAGTTGACTTATTGAATTATGGTGTCCGGGGAGAAAGGTTAGAAGGGGAGGATAAGAAAGGAGAAGTGGTCATCAAGGAGCAAGAGACAGGTTTTGCTTATGAGGGCTGAGAATTAATTCAGAAATCCTCATTCTTCCAGTTTGCTTTGGAAGGTAATTAACTAGACTGATTTCTCTGAATTGGACCTATTGAAAGGATGGTTAGCAGTATTCTTAGCACCTTGGGGATGAGAAGGGGCAAGGCTGTTTTATTGCCCTGGGTTTTAACCTCATATTAGCCCTTGTTCCCTTCTGAATGGAGGCGTTCTAACTATAGTCCTGCCTAGAGCTGAGAGGCTGGTTGAAGAAATGGACCAGTTCGGTAGTCTCTTTCTTTTCACAAATTAATGAAATGCTGCCTAATCACACCTTCATTTTAAGTAAACAAGAGAGAAAATAGCTTTTGTCTTCTGGAGGGATTTAGTTAATATTTGCCAGATGTCACATATTTCCTTTCACAGTTTAAGCTGCTTCTGGTAGACACAAAAAGTTAATCATTGCCTCTCTGAACTATAGCTTTTTAGGTGGGTGTGTGAGAGTGTGTGTGTGTGTGTGTGTGTGTGTGTGTGTGTGTGTTTAGAGAGCCATTTCTTCTCTGTTGGTTGGTTTTGCTCAATTTTTTTATGTCACCAGAATCTATATTAGCTTCATATTTTTGACTGTTCCACAGTGTTGATTAATTATGAGTGTTTCCTAACAGCTTGAGAAATCAGTGCTTACATCTGTCTCACATTTTTTTTTTGTGTGTGTGTAGGGGGATATGAGACCTTCTATTCGGAATATCCAGAGTGTTGTGTGGATGTAAAGCCCATTTCACAAGAGAAGATCGAAAGCGAGAGAGCCGTCCTCAACCAGTGTGGGAGAACAGTGCTCAACCTCAGCTACAGGCCAGCTTATGACCAGGTACATCTCCATCCTCCCTGGCTCTTCTCTCCCTGCTCAGCAATAGTGGTTAGTTCTTGGTGGCCCAGGGTGTTGGCAGAATCCTCTAATTTTAGAGAACCTGTGTTGCTTGCCAACTTGAGTTTCCATCCAAGAGTAAATGGGCTTCCTTCCAGCAAACAAGCTGACAAGCGCAAACGAGCCACAGGATGCTTGACAGCTTCTGGAGAAAAGGGGAAGTGAATGACACATTAGTATTAGCTGGCTTGGAAGGTTCAGAGAAGCGTCAGAATATTGGTTTAGGTTTCCCTGAAGACATTTCAGAGCCGACTTTCATCCTTCCTGTGTTGATCTCTTTTGTAATTGTTCATAGTCTGCAGTTTCTGTAAACCAACCTAGTACCTGTCAAGGCGTGTCTCTTTGGTATTTTTAACTGCAACAGAGGGGGAGGGGGAGGGGGACAATCTGCTGTTTGGATGGCTAATCTAAGGGTTTCTGAAGCTTATGATTCCATAAATTCTAGAATGAGGAGATCAAGAAACACTGTAGGTTTTCATGTTTCTGTATACATGTGTGTGCCTTTTTTCCCTCTTCAAAAAATTGTGCTTTGTGACAACTCATTAAAGAAAGAGTACGGTGGAAAAGCTCAGTGGTCAGGGGGTTACTTAGCATGATACCGGAAGATGAGGAAAAGGCAGGTGAGAACTCAGATGTGGCAGAAACTGGAAATCAAAACCAATCTTCCCATGTTACAGGGGAAAAAACTGTTGGTTGCAAAGAGCACCCTCCCCCGCAGCTGGCTCATGGCAGCCCCAGGCCCAGAACCCCCTTCTCTTAACTCCCTGGCGGGGTTCTTTTCAGAACTTTCTTCTCTTTTCCACGTGGCCCTCTTTCTGAAGAAGCACCTGACTTCATGGAAGGAGCTTTTTGAACTTTTCCCACAAGACAAGAAAATACCCAAATCATAAGAAAGAAGACATCTAGATGCTGCCTAAAATACCAGCTATCTCCCATGAGCAAAACTCTGCCCCTGGGAATGAGCTTACAAATAAAGCCCTGTGCCTTTTCTTGAATGGAACCCTTGGTCAGGAAGCCTATTACCTCAGCAAAGTGCCAGAGTTATTATTTTATTTGTTTTCCTTTATTAAATATAAATATACACACAGTCTATGATGAACCCTGGGCTTTCAAGCCATGGGCATCTGGCCTAGTTAGATTTCTGTTTTTGTTTGTTTGGTTGGTTGATTGTGTTTTTCCCCCATTTCTCCGAAAGTGAAAGATAAACAGGAATTGGCAGTGTGCTGTGAAAGCGTGGTAGACCTTTGGCCAAATGAGGGTTGGGGAGGCCCTGATGTGTCTTGACGATTCATCTGGGGAAATCCCTGGTGCTATTTCTTAGAAGCGCTTCTGCACCAAGAAAAGCCAAACAAGGTCTCATCAACCTTTGGGTTTCTGAGGCCTTTGGTTTGTTCCTCTTAAGTCTAAACATGAGATTCAGAAAAGGGAAGAAACATGGTTTCAGGGTGTGTTGGGCTAAGCTACAGACGAAACTGAATAGGCTCCCAGGCCTGATGCGTCATTATTTTCCAGGCACTCAGGAGAGGGAGAGGTCTTGAGTCAACTGTCCACTTTGTTCCATTGAGGGTGAGGCTGTGGGTGCCCATTGGTGGGGACCCACGGCTGGTCAGTGACTGAGTGAACCTGGACTTGGGTCTCCTTACCTCTTTCCGAAGAACTTTCCACTAACTCTGCTGGAAACTAACTAGTGGTTTCTGGTTCCTAACTAGTGGGGAGCTGCACCCCAGGGAGGGGGTCCAGCTCAGGCCAGGCCTATACCTGCTGGGATTGACTAGCTCGGTATCTGCCCTGTGTCTTCCCTAGGGAGAGAAGCCATATCTGTGTATTTGTTCTTCAGCTTTTGCATGATAATGGCAACTATATAAAGTACCGGGCTTTAATGCATCCATTATCCCATTTATTCCTTGCAATTATCCCAGTAGGGTAGGTATTATTATCTCCATTTTACAGATAAAGATTCAGAGGTTAAAGAAGCTGCCCCCAAGGACATAACAGCTAGTAAGTCTGGAGCTGGGACTTGACCTAGAGCTGCTCTTCCTGATGCCCAAGCCCAGGTTCTTAACCACTAGACCACATTGCCACCCAGGAAGGCTGCTTTCTATAGGTGAACATTTGGGGAGTTGTAAGGGAGGGGATGCAAGTGGAAGTTTTATCTCGAAGAAGAGAGGAAGGGAGGGAATTCCTTCCATCCTGTTTTTACTTAAAACACTTGCTTTCCCATAATGATCACTACTTTGAAATGACATGCTAAGCAGTCAGAGTTGGGTTTGAATCCCAGCTCTACCACTGACTAACTCAGACTCAGGTGAGTTGTTTAATCTCTCTGAGCCTCAAGTTCCCCATCTGTAAAATGAGGATAATGTTACCTGCCTCATAGATTTGTTGTGAAATTGGTACTATGTAGATACATCTAAAGTGTTAAGCCCAGCCATGACCCATTGCCGTTGGGTTGATTCCGACTCATAACAACCCTGTAGGACAGAGCAGAACCGCCCAATAGGGTTTCCCAAGGCTGTTATCTTTATGGAAGCAGACTGCTGCATCTTTCTCCTGAGGAGTAGCTGGTGTGTTTGAACCGCTGACCTTTCGGTTAGCAGCTTACCACTGTGCCACCAGGGGTCCTTAAGCCTAGCCATAAACAAACAAGAAAAAAACCCCATTGCCGTTGAGTTGATTCTGAATCATAGCAACCCTATAGGACAGAGTAGAACTGCCTCATAGGGTTTCCAAGGAGCGGCTGGTGGATTCGAACTGCGGACCTTTGGGTTAGCAGCCAAGCTCTTAACCACTGTGTCACCAGGGCTCCAAGCCCAGCCATAGTAGGCATTAATAAAAATACCAGTTGTTATTATTACCCTATTTAAATCCTCTAGAACTTTCTTCTAAGTGGCTAAACTGGCCTTTGCTTAAATCCTTGTTCTCCAGAAAGAGAAAGTGAGCAACACATGCGCGGTCAAGTGAAAACTGCCTGCTGCTGCCCCTCATGACACCCTGCCGCAATCATGGGTCTGGCAGACGACCCTTGAGTTTCCACTCCACTCTTATTCCAGGAGAGGAAATGGAAACTCAGGATGTGGACGGATGGAACAGGAAGGGCTCCCAAAGAGACAGCAACTGTCCCCAGCCCAGTATTTTCCTCTAAATCTCCAGGGACTTCCATTGTCCAACCATCACTGGCTTCTCTTACCACCTTAGAACTCTGTAAATACTAGGACTACAAAAGTCCAGCTAGCCAGCAGTTCTTTTTAGCTTCACCTCAGGGTACATGTGTATCTCGTTAACTAGAAAACTGGTGTGTGGGTGGCCTCCCAAAAGCATCTCTCTCCAGGACCCTAAGCCCCATATGAAGACCGTCAGGGATGGGGGAAGCCCCTCTGTCTAAAAACTTCACTTTATCTGAGGATTCTGGGTAAACAGTGGTTATTTTCAATTTTAAGAAACATCCATTTTGGAAAGAAGGAGGTGTATTTTAACATCTCTGAAATCTGAATACATCTTAGGATCAAGTGTTTTAGGATTGATGATGTTGTTGTTGTGTGCCATTGAGTCAATTCAAACTCCTAGGGACCCTGTAGGACAGAGTAGAACTGCCCCATAGGGTTTTCTAGGCTATAATCTTTACAGGAGCACATCACCAGGTCTTTCTCCTGTGGAGAGGCTGAGGGGTTCGAACTGCCAACCTTTCGGTTAGCAGCCAAGTGCTTAATCATTGACCATCAGGGCTCCTTGCTTGATGATATACCATATATAAAATGTCAGAGCTGGAAGATGTCATTTTGCAGATAATGAAACCGAGCCTGCCTGAGGTTTGAGGATTTGCGCTGTCCTCTCAGGGCAGCTAGAACTTCAACGTGGTCTCTCAATTCTTCCCTTCACGCCGCTGCCTCTCATCCTTGTTAGCCCAGGAAGGCTGCTGGCATTTCCTACCTCTGTGACATGTGCAAGAAAATGAAAAGCTCTGCTGTGTGGGTTTTGCTGTCACTGAGTAATAGCAGGGAACCTGGGAAGACAGCAGTAATGTAGAGAAGAGAGTTCATCAGGAATGGAGGCTCCATCCACACTCTTGGTTGAATTGCCCTGCCTCTACCTGGAAACCAGAAAGGGAACCTCCCACATTCAAAAACAAATAGGTCAGAGTTGTTTTTTTTCCTCTCCCAAATGAGTAAGCTAATCCAATATTTCCTGATGTCCTTTGCCCTTGCTTACAGGGTAGCCCAGTTGAAATACTTCCCTTTCTCTACCTTGGAAGTGCCTACCACGCATCCAAGTGCGAGTTCCTTGCCAACCTGCACATCACGGCTTTGCTGAATGTCTCACGGCGGACCTCTGAGGCCTGCACAACCCACCTACACTACAAATGGATCCCCGTGGAAGACAGCCACACAGCTGACATTAGCTCCCACTTTCAAGAAGCAATAGACTTCATTGGTAGGTCCAGCCAGTCCCTCTCTGTTATTTTGGGAGCCTCCTAGGGGCATGTGTTCTTGGATTTTGATTTACTGATGGGGGCTACCTTCACCAAGAAGAAAAGTGTCTTGTCTACCCAACTACCAAGAGTTGGAGCCAAGATGGGCCACAGCCACTGAAAAGGCAGAGGGGAGGATTTAAGTTGCTATTAATAGACATTTTAATTTGCAAGATAAATGAATTAATATACTTCTATGGCAATACTCACTGCCACTTTTGTTATTGTTTCTAGCTGGGCGGGAGCGGAGAATGTATCCACACATAAGGCTCCACGTGAGAGAAGCGGGGAGGTAGGGGAAAGAACCTCCCTAGCTGTGTCTACGCAGGTTGAGATATTTTTAAAAGCAAACAGAAGGATTGAGAGAGCACTACTTACGCACTGAGCCCCAAGAGCCCAGCAGCTTTCCACGGTTTTTGGCAAACAGCTTGGGGGCAATTTGTTTTGCGATTTCAGCTAATTTTGGAATAAAGATAGCACTTGACTCAAGCTCCATGCTTTACGCACAGGAAAGTTGGCATGTTTTGCATCCTCTGCATTCCTGTGAGGCAGTTGTGATTTAGTCCCTTGGACGAGCCTGAAAGCCAAGGTCTTGACCTCTGGCCCCTCAGCCTGGAAAGGGCTTTGGGCCTTAGGCTTCCTGTGCTGTCCTCCCTTTCCCGCATCCCTCCCCTCCAGGGCCCCAGGCTGACATTTTTCTATCTCAAATTTGCTAGCACCACTCCCCAACCTTGTGGGCACGCCTCCCTTTCCAGGGTCATCTTTCTCTTTGTCTTCAACACGCTTGGTTGTTGAAACCAGACATGATTTTCCTGTGTCTTGTTCTGAGGGATGTTGGAGGGGAAAAGGCAGGTGCTAGGCCCAGCTATAATTACTGAGTGCAGGTAGCAATTAAAGGGCCCCCCCACTTCAGCCACGTGGTGGGCACTCTCTGCTCATCACGCACAATTTCTGCTCCACGGGAAACCCTGAGGAGAAACTCACCAGAGGCCAAAGGCAGAGCCTGTGGTCCCATCCCCTGAGCCTCTGGGCTGAGATGATTCCTTTGGAGCCTCTTAGAGACTGCCAAAAGAATGGGTTCAGGATGGGAAACTTTGACTTGTCTCCTTGTCCCTGGGAAGGCCTTGCCCTTCTCAGCTGGTTATTTAATTACCTAGATAGCTACTTAATGAGGTCATTAAACTCACCCCCATCCATCTCTCAGAACCCTCCCTCCCCATCTTGTGTGTGTCTGCAGGTCTGTGTTTGTGTACACAACCACCCAAACCCACAGTGTTTTAAAAGCACAGGATGCATTTTCCCAGACTCTGTCCAGCTGATGGAGGCCAGGATGAGTGTCTCGGTGGGCAGTGTGCTGAGCCATGCCTGGCCGTCTCCCGAGGGACGTAGCATAGGGAAAGCAAGCCCTTGAGGTTTAGAGTGGGTTCTAGAAGCAGTGTAGACTAGGCCCTTTTCTTTCTTGGATGTGACACTAGGGCAATTAGAAGTTAGACTATAAAGGAGGGCAACACAGGAGTGAAGGAGAATAGGAGCCACAACCCTGTAGTCCTAGGGACCTGGGGGTCTCCCCTTTGAACTACTTGTAAGGCCTTTTTTCTTGAGCCAGAGACTGAATTGAGGGCGCCTCTAATGAACTGCCCTGGGATGTCCTTTGGGGTCTTAGTTCAAAAGGGGAAACTCCAGGGTTCCTCTCTGACCCCTCAGAAATTATATCTTTTAGATCTCGCAGATGCGTTTGCAAACTTCTGGAACTTGGGAGGAGGGGAGGGACTGATTTTCTTCCCCTCTTTGAAATCTTATATATTTTTGCATGCTGTGGCCTTTGCTAGTGCCAGCTACACCTAGCTTCCTGTGATGTAATTGTTTCTTATCAGCAAGAGAGGGAATTGGAAAGACTCTATGTTTTTTGTGGTTTTGATTTGATAGGTGTATGTTTAACCTTTTACCTTTTCCCATTTTTAAAATAACAGTCTGTCCTCAGGAGTTGTAGCTTTTTGGGGTGCGGAGGGTGGGAAGGGCAGGAAAGGAGAGCATCCTTCCCCCTCTTTTGTCATATGGAACCTAAAGAATGCTAACTGGTGGTGGTCGCTTAATAGCAATGACTCCCATTGTTGTGCAAGATGTAGTTTGCAAAAGCCATTTATATCCTTCATCTAGTAAGCTTCCCTTAGCCAGGGCTGTAATTAGAGGCTGTGCGCTGTTTATTGTATGTTTGGTGGTGGGAACCCTGGGAGCTGAGCCAAGCATCATCCTGCCCTGGTACAGCCAGACTGGGTGTCCAGAGAGGCTGGAAGGCCTCAGCCAGCACAGGGGCCAAGTCATCACCATTAGAATCAGATGCTGAGAGGAGGAATGACTGACTGCTCCAGCCAGTCTTTGAACCTGGGACCCTCTCCTCAGAAAAATGTGCATACCCTTTTCAAAGATTTCCTGATGCCCTCTTAAAACCTATTCCTGGAACCCAAGTTAAGATGATATCCCGAGAAAGTCTAGGTCTAGCGCCTCCAGTGGCAGAAGCGGTAACTGCAAGCATCCTTGAGAACTGAGAAGCAGCTCTAAGGATTATAAAAAAAGCCAAACCAAACCTGTTGCCGTCAAGTCGATTCTGACTCATAGCGACCCTATAGGACAGAGTAGAACTGCCCCATAGGGTTTCCAAGGAGCAGCTGGTGAATTCGAACTGTTGACCTTTTGGTTAGCAGCCAACCTCTTAACTACTGTACCACCAAGACTCTGTAAGGATTATAAAGGTTCTCAATAGGAATAGACTTCAGTAGAACTTCAAAATCTCTGTCCTTCCCAGTGGTGGTTAAAGACTGGACTAGTAGTAAGATCACAGTTCTTAAGCAGGCAAAATGGTTTGATACCTAGTTTCTTTAATGCATAATTCTTGTGTCTTGGCATTGCCTTTGGATTCCAAGCCCAGCTCAATTCCTGCCCTCTTTTCTTCCTTCCAGACTGTGTTAGGGAAAAGGGAGGCAAGGTCCTGGTCCACTGTGAGGCTGGGATCTCCCGCTCACCCACCATCTGCATGGCTTACCTCATGAAGACCAAGCATTTCCGCCTGAAGGAGGCCTTCGATTACGTCAAGCAAAGGAGGAGTGTGATCTCACCCAACTTTGGCTTCATGGGTCAACTCCTGCAGTATGAATCTGAAATCCTGCCTTCCATGCCCACCCCCCAGACTCCCTCCTGCCAAGGGGAGGTGGCAGGCTCTTCATTTCTAGACCATTTGCAGACATTAAGCTCTGACGTGCAGGGCTCCTACTGTACATTTCCTACCTCAGTGCTGGCACAAGTGCCCACCCACTCGACGGTCTCAGAGCTCAGAAGGAGCCCAGTGGCCACAGCCACATCCTACTAAATCCAGGACGGGGAGCCAGCCCAGCCCCAAGAGCAACTGTGATTCTGATTTTTAAACTTGCGGACATTTTATACCTGTGCAATACTGAAGACCTCACTCTGTCACACTGTCCCAGTGGGGTAGTGAGGGGTCACCAGTTGCAAATGGACTTCAGACTGACCTTGGGGATAGGCTCTTGGGACCGAAGGAAGGCCAAGCCATTATGCGAGCACAGCGTGTGCTGACTACTGTACTTCCAGACCCCCTGCCCTCTCAGGACTGCTCAGTCCTTGCACCTCAACATTCGCCTTTTCATTTCAAGCGTAAGGCAATAAATACCTGCAGCAACGTGGGAGAACGCAGTTGCTGGACCAGGAGGAAAGGCAGTTACAAGCCAATTCATTTTGAAGGAAGCACAATTTCCACCTTATTGTTTGAACTTTGGCAGTCTCAGTGTCTGTCTCTGTTGCTTCAGGGCATAAGCTGATCACCATCTAGTCAGGAAAGTAACCCCACTGGGTTTGTAGGTCTACGGGTATGAACCATCCCAATAGGAATGTTGCTTTCCTATTGAGGTGCTTCCCTAAGCTCACTTGAAATAGAATCCCTTGGGCACAGACCATGTTTGAACCTGCATATGTTTTGGGGATTCCTTTTTGAGTCCACTGGAGGCAGTTGGTTGAAGTAGCAAGACACTGACTCTTTGAGGTGTCTTTTTCACTGTGGGTTCTTCCCTGACCTTGGACTTTGGTATGACTCTTATTCATACTTGAACCTTTCTCATTGCACCTCTTCTCCAAGCCCCTCTTGTGTCATTTGAAAACTACTCCAGACCATAGACCAAAAATCATCCCTCTGTGGTGGTAGCAGTGGGTGCCAGGAAAACAAGGAAGCCCACTCTGTATTACGGTCAGTGGCGTTGAAAACTGTCGTTTCCCCGGCTTGCTGTCCTTACGTGTGTGTGTGTCTGTCTCTTGTGACACTTGTTTTCTTCCCTGCCCCTGGGGATTGTCTTCAAGCTGTTGACTTCTGGGGTTTGCAGATTTTGCAATGTGGTACTACTCCTTTTTTGTCTGTAGGTTATTTCTCCAGGGGAAAAGGCAATAATTTCCTAAAACCCAAGTGAATGTGAAGAAAAGCGGTATGTTACTGGTTGTTGTTGTTGTTTTTTATAGTGCAAAATAAAAGTTATGAAAGGAAAAATGTACCTCTCCTTTGTCTGGAGTGAACTGGGATAAGATAAGAGTGCCTTGGGGGTGGGGGCCTAGCCTGCCTCACTGGGTTTTATTTCAAATAAACTCTAAGGTGGTGGTAGTGGGGTACACACATACAGGTGTGAGGCTGTGTGTCTGCTCATGATTCAGTGACCTTATCAATACAGAATGTCATCTGCCTGCCGTGGGCCCTTCACGCCATGACCCCAGGCAAATAGTTCCACCTGGTCCTTGGATTCCTCATCTGTGAACTGAGTGAACTGTGTTAGATAATCCTGAAAGTCCATTGAAGCTCGAGGCCCTTGAGTCCAGCAACCTGAGTGCCAACCTTGTGACCAGTCTCCTCCCCCGTGTCTAACACAAGGCAGACATTCAGAAAACGTTGAATAAGTGGCCAAAGGGATGGAGAAGTAAACTAGATGAAGGTTCAGCTTAATTCTTCCAGATAATTCCCTCAGGAGTTCCTAGGTAAATCCCTCAATGAGTGGGTTTAAGTCTGAGGCTGAATCAACTTGCCTTCTGAGTAATTTCCACTGCATTGGTGGAGGGCGGAATGAAGGGGCATTATCAGCTTCTTCCCATGGCTGGCCCTACTTCTGCTCCTGCCTAACTCTTGGGGCCTCTGTCCTCAGGGGGTGTGGATGATTGGCTGGACTTGTGCTGCCCCAATCAGCCCGGTGCCTAATACAGGGGAGGTTCCAACCATACCCTTTAATCCAAGGGTCCAAAGAGGCCTCCGACTCCCCCAACAGGCACCATGTCAGCAAACAGCAAGATGGCAACAGAACTCAGGGTAGTCCAGCTCTTTATAAATATCTCAGAGGCTTTGCTTGAGGCCTTACTTTCCACTCTCCTTTCTCCGATTCACCCTGCACGGTTTCCTTGGAAAGCCCACAGATGAGAAAGCCATCCTGACTGGGGAGGTCATATTTTCCCTAGTCCACTCCCCTTGTCCACATAATCCAAGCAAGGGATTCCAGGGGAAGAAAGTGGACAGGGAATAAGAAGTCCTGGGTTCTAGTCCTTACCCTGGTGCTGGAGGTCCGTCTCCCGTTTCACATCTCTGAGCCTCTGATAACCGTTGGAGTGTGTCCTGGAAGCCTGCCCATTGTGCAGGCCTGTCCAGGTGCTGGAGGGGCCTCAAGCAGGGAGAGCAGGCAGGGAGTGGGAAGCTGGATGCAGGCTGGGGTGATGTGCTAACCTGCATCCCATTTGCTGACATTTGCTTTATTGCATTAAAGTCTTTCTCCGAAGGGTGAGTAAGTCCTCTAAATCAGGCATATGAGGATTGCTCATAAGCTGGTGAGTCACTGGAGGGTAAGCCAAGTGAAGCCCCACAGCTGGGGATAGCTCTGTAACTTTCCCTATATTTAATAGTCTCCTCATCAATTGCACCTCCATTTTTGCCAAGACCAACTTCACATTGACCTCCAGGACCAGGTGGAAATTCAAGCTGGCTGTCCAGTTCCTTCATCCTTGGGCTTTAAGGAACACCTCTGTTGGTCTCCAGCATCTTCTCAGATAGAGGCGTGTCTGGGAGAGTAGAGATGTTGGTTCTCCCTGATTCTGTTTCCTTGCTGACCTGGTGCCACAATTTTGATAGTAGCCAAATGCCTGAGAAAGGACCAGGGCTCAATAAGAACTCACTACTTTTTGCATTCCAGTGGAGGTGAGGTGGAGGGGCAAGACTGATAGAATATTCATTATTCACAAAAAGTTAACAAATAGGAGTTACTACTTAGAGGGCACAGAATTTCTGTTTGAGGTGAAGAAAACATTTTGGAAATAGATAATGGTGACAGTTGCACAACATTGTGAATGTAATTAATGCCACTGAATTCTTAAAAATGGTTAAAACGGAAAATTTAATGTAATATACATTTTACAAAAAAGAAAAAATATTAAAAAAAAAAAAAAGGCAATGAACAATGTAAGAATGCCTAAGGGATGAGTCAAGGCAGGATTCAGAATGCTTGAGCAGGTAATGCACCCAATCAGTTTCTGCCCAGTTCAGAGATCTGTCTAGCTTAGACTCTCTTGTAGGGCAGTCTCAGCTGGAAGGAGCAGTGATCCTGCCAAGTTGCCATGGAAAGTGCTTAATGCCTACAGATTGAGTGTTCAATAAGAAGGACACAATAAAACTCAAACCTCCCCCCTTGTCCCATCTCTGGTGAGCACCCTAAGGTGATAAATTATGGTATCTAAATTTTAAGTGCTGACTTATTTGTAGTAGCAGATCAAATCTCCCCCATTCACTTATAAAGTTTACAGAAACCAATATGCCACCAGGTGGAGGGCTTAAAGTAGACCCTTGAGATTGGACTGGACTGTGGGACATAAAGTTATACTCATGAGGAGTGTGCCTCTTAGCTCAAGTAGGTGCAAGAGACTAAACGGGCAGCTTCTGTCTGGAGGTGAGATGGGAAGGCAGAGGGGGTTAAGAGCTGGCTGAATGGACATGGGGAATCAGTGGTGGAAAGGAGGAGTGTGCTGTCACAGTATGGGGAGAGCAATTAGGGTCACAACAATGTATGTATAAATTTTTGTACGGGAGACTAAATTGAAATGTAAACTTCATTTAAACTACAACAATAAACAAAAATAAAATAAGACCCTTGAAGCTTCTGTACATTTGTCATTCTGGGCTTTCCCAGAAGCCAGGTGAAAATGTGTGCTTATGAGGAACAAACCTCCCAGATAGTGAAGCCTCAAATATATTGTTATGATAGGAAGATGAAAAACAAATTGTTTCCAATTGGCAAGGAAAGAACAATGGACTTAGAATCAGGAAGCATGGCTTCTGATACCAGACCCTGGGGAGCCTCATTCTTGGGACCTTAAAGGGGAGCTGTAAGTGTAGAGTAAGGGTTTAAGGGTGAAAGTTATGGGATGAGTGGGACACTGAGAACAAATCCTCTAATCTCCCAGAGCCTGCCAGGCTGGAAGTAACTTCAAAAAGTCATGTAGTTCCATTTCATGCCTCAGAAGAACCACCCCCAAACTAGCCCAGAATTACCTGTTTTTTATAGAAAAGCAGGGGAGGGAGATGACAATTTCAAAGTTCTGAGCACTTACTATGGGCAGGTCCCATGCTGGGTGCTTTGTATGTGTTCTCTCATTTAATATCTACAAGAAGCCTGCAAAATGGATATTGTTAGCCCTGTTTTACAGGTGAGAAAACTGAGAGGTCACATGCTTCACCCAACGTTACACAACTAGAGCCTTCCAATGTCAGAGCCACAACACCCAACTCACATTGGATTCCAAAGGTCTTACTCTTTCCGATACACAGCACTGGTTCCCAGAAAAGGAAATTCAAAAGCTTCTCAGTTATATGTCTCCATGTCTACTCCCTTAAATATGGTTATTCTTTGGAGTAGGATTTCAAGTGATCTCATTATAAAAGTTCATTAACTTTACAAAGCCTTCTTTTCCAACACTATTGCATTTAGATCCGGGAACTGAATTTCAAATGGGTTATGGACAAGATGGTGTGTACACAGATGATGTCAAACAGGGCAGTGAAAGGATCAGAGACTATGTTATATGAAGAAGAGTCAGAAGAGGTGGTGATGTTTGTCCTAGAGAAAAGATTCAATGAATTGTCTAAAAGAGGTTGTATAGAGTAGTGTTTAGGAACTCAAGAGCTGGAGCTTCATAAACTCAAGTTTAAATTCTGGCTCAGCCACTTACTAGCTGTATGGACATGGACAATTATTTCATCTAAGTTTCAAATTTTTTATACATAAAATGAGTATGCTAATTGAATCTACTGTGTGGGTACAATTTTGAAAAGTAAATGTGATGAGGAATAATAAATGTGATAAGTCCTCAACGAGTGGTGGTTGTGATTGTTAATTACAGCAGTCACAGTAATGGGTTGGGGCTAGGGTTGGGCAAGCAGAAGTGGGATTTCTATTGGTATGGCTGCTGTGGAGAGGATTCAGGCCTCAGGGCCTTTGCACATATCCCTCCCTCTACGTGGAAGGCTCATCCCTTCCCTTCTTCATCCTGCTAATTTATGGATCTCCTTTGGATCTCACTCGTGACTTCTCTTCTTCAGGGAAGCCTGCTCAGATTTCACGCTTCCATGTTAAATGCTTCCATGTTAAATTCCATGTTAAAAGAACATTTCAAGATCTATCCTGAAGTACAACGCTGTCAGTGATAGGATAATATCCATACCCCTACAAGGAAGACCAATTAATACAACTATTATTCAAATTTACACACCAACCATGTAACAGTTACAGCCAGCTATGTACAGGAGTCTGTACATAGGCCAAAGATGAAGAAATTGAAGACTTACCAGCTTCTGCAGTCTGAAATTGATCGAATATGCAATCAGGATGCATTGATAATTATTGGTGATTGGAATGT